GTGTGTGTGTGTGTGTGTGTGTGTGTGTGTGTGTGTGTGTATACATATATATAATTTTTTATTCAAATAGCGTCTTTTTAGTGTGCACACGTGTATATATACTGTGATTCGTTTATTTGATTGTGCTTCTGAATAGTACATGTTCTCATTTCGAGCCTTTAGATGATTGAAAGCCGTCTAGAGGGTGTTTTTAGTAGCAAAAACATACCTACACGTCGCAAACCATGTCCAGTATCTTTGTATATTTCAATATATAATTGTACCAGTTCACTTGTGTTTATTTTTATGTATATAAAAATGCTTGAAAAACACATTTCCACTGGTAAACTCTATATCCACTCACGTATCTAGTTATAATCATGCATACAATTGCAAGTATGTCACTCACATCGTGTGCGCTCGCTGCCAATTCTACAGGACACTTCCACTTGGTGCGGTTACTGATGGATGAGTATGTGGCCTACTCCATAGATACGTACAAACGCACACAACAAAGTATAGAGATAGCAAACAAGGTCTGGGGTATGCAGTAGGATACAACCTTCCTTCGACAACTATCTTAGAAGGTGCAGAGGGATGCATGACTTGTACTATAGGCACACACAAACACACACAACAAAGTATAGATACGACAAACAAGGTGTGGGGTATGCAGTAGGATATAACCTTCATTCGACAATTCACTTAGAAGGTGTAGAGGGAAGCATGACTTGTATCATAGGCACACACAAACGCACACAACAAAGTATAGAGAAGCCAAACAAGGTTTGGGGTATGCAGTAGGATACAACCTTCCTTCGAGAACTATCTTAGAAGGTGCAAAGGGATGTAAGACTTGTAATTTAGGCACACACAAACGCACACAAAGTATAGCTATGACAAACACGGTCTGGGGTATGCATAAAGATACAACCTTCCTTCGACAACTATCTTAGAAAACGCACACAACAAAGTATAGAAATGACAAACAAGGTCTGTAATTGCTTCTCTTGTCCACGACCAGTGCCGAGTGACAGGATCCAAGGAATGTTATACTCTTCAGCTCACAGATGGCATTTGTATGCATAAGGAGATGAGTGCAGACTGACAAAATCATTGATAGCATTTTCATGGGCAAAGAGAAGAATGTTTGATGAACCAATGATCCAAGACTACGCATAAGCTTGAAACGCCAATCGTCGTACTCATAAAGATGTCGGAAATAACAGATGGTACCAACACCAGCATCATATCCTACCCGTCTACTTGGTCCCCATGGAAACCCTTTCTATCCTACCCGTCTACTTGGTTCCCATGGAAACTCTTTCGCTGCTGGTTATAACTACACACGCCGAAAGGAGAAATGTAGTAAATGCCGGTGATAGCATACATTATAAACCAGGAGCCGATATGAGCGTCCGAAATAGTAGCTACAGATGTATAGCATACGCCCAATATAAAGCTTAAGGGTGACGAGAACTATTAAAGACATCAGTTGCCTTTATATAAAGTAGTTACTTACTTGCCTATTGCATTCATTGTGTTTCATTAGAATTAGTTGCTTACTTCTGTAATCTTGTGCAACTCAGGCGTTTGCGGTGAATTAATTACGTATATAGAGCCATTCTCTGTAGACATCACGTATGTAGAGCCATCCTTCAAACGTAGCGCAAAATAGTTAAAACGCTTACGTTTGCGTTGTGGCGTGGAAACCCTATCAATTAAACTAATTGAGCCCAACTTATCCTGCACTGCAAACTTGCGCTATCATGTGATAGAATGGTCACTTTATACTCATCGGCACTTACAAGAACAGCCGTACGGTGCTGCATCTTGACAGAGTAGCCCCCTGTTGATTTCTTGCTCTTCATACTGTTAGTATGGTACCGTCTGTATCCAGGATAGAATTTCAACGTGTATATTAGTACCATCGCATCTACTTCCGGGCCACCAATATGCACCGGTGTACCGTACAGTTCCGTCTGTGACTATGATGTGGCGTTGTGCATGTTTGACAGATCGGATGCATCCATGCTACCAGCATAACTGCCCAAGCGATGTATGCTCAACACATCGCCGAGAACACTGGTCTGGATGTTGAATTGTTGCTATATTTGGTCGCTTAATCAGGTCGCTTACCTTATTAGGCATTGCATCATGCATGCGGCGAGTTGATTAGACAGGCCGCTATATCCAAGCGAGTCATGTTGGCCGCGAAGCCGACAGCACCAAGAACCTTTAGGAAATCATGTCCAGTATAAGCTGGACCTTCGAGAGAAGCCGGATGAACACCGTCACCGGGAGTATACTTGGGTATGGCATCGAGCTTGTCGAATGCGGCAAGCATGTGATCGATATAGGCAGTCTGGTCCAGGGTAATAGAGTCAGGGAGCTGTCGTACACGAAAACCGACAAGATGACGAGCCAAACCGAGGTTCTTCATAAAGTAGGGAGCGCTAAGGACCCGGGACAGCCATTTGTCCATCCCGGAGAGTCGTTGAATAGCAGGAATAATCTCATCGACGTAGATGATGAGGATGATTTTATAATCAGCGTGCTACCAAACGGATTCATCAGCGGTAGATCGTTCGAAATAGATGGATTTAAGCTTTGTGGTGATGTCGATGTTCCAAAGGCGACCAGTTTGACGGAGACCATCGAGGCCACGCTTGAGTCGGAGTACATGCCCGGGAGGGTAGTAACCAAGGTCCACACTGCCGGTCGGGGGATGCATTAAGACGGGGACGTCGAGTCTGGAGTATAAATACGCAGTATCGACGTCAAAGTGGTAGACGTGTTGGCCAATGCTGGCGGCGCGAGCCATGAATACTTGTAGTGTGGTGGCAGAGGCGGCGGGAGCATAAGTGTCACGGTGGGTTGTGCCATGTTTCTGCTGGTCTCAATGCGCTACGCGCTACCATCCGTGCTTTGAATATCGTTGGAGTCCCATTTTCATCATGCTTACGGGTGAGGACGTATTTCGAGTGTATGATACGAGTGTTAGCGGGCACAGTAGAAAGCGGAATGATGTCAGTCAGTCCGTTCTTAACATGTGCAGCGTGTTCTTTAGCGATAGCTGCTTGTCACTGAGGCCACGCAGGTGATTTACGGGCCTGCTTGACGGTGTGCGGGAGAGGAGAGTTCCAACGGTGTAACGATGGTGACGTCGTCAGTGGTCGCAGATCGAGCAGAAGGGTAGCCGGGATGAGAGAAGTCAAATCGATTCGGCGTCCGGGGAATTTGGGTTGGCGGATGTGTCGGATAGTTTTTGGGAGGAATTGCTGTCATCGTCGAATATATCATCGGCCAAAATTGTTACGAAAGAGTGTGAACTTTGAGAACGGGGTGAATGTGGGAAGTCCGGGTCATCAGTATGGGACTGTTCGGAACCATCGCGAGCCGTAAAAGACATATTATCAACAGAAGAATGAGTCCGTGGAAGAGAAGGGGCCTGCTCCGCCAATGTAGGCTGCATGCGTTGACGTCGCCGGTCTTCCAGGTAGGCTTGAAAGTTAGTGTTGAGAACCTTGGGGTAAGTATATTGGAGCGGTTCACTGTTCTGGAAGGGTGGATGACGGGTGGAAGGCTCATGGGAGGGTGGAAAGAGGACGAAAAGGGTCCTTCACTCGGAATAATGTGAGTAGTGAGGCCTGTGGAAACAAATGCAGGTGGTGCCGGAGGCGACGAAAGTGTGAGTGGGGAAAGAGCTGATCCCTGAGCGTCCCTGAGCGATGTATGATGTAGGGATAGTGATCGAAGGTGGGACCAGCGGAGTGGGCACAGGCTCAAGCTGAGATGGCGATGGTTGGGTCGCAACGGAAGGTGGTAGAAGAGGGACGTGTGGGACAGACGCTGTATCGGCTGAGTCTAATTCATAACAGTTTTCGGGAATGACATAGCCAGAGGGCGTAGATGTGCGTGTGCATCGCTTTCCCTTGGGGTTCCATCGGGGAAGCTCGTCTGAAAGGAATTGGACGTCGCGAGAGCAAAGTGGCGTTGAATGGCGAGGTTCTGGATCTTTCACGTAACAGGGGTGCAGGATGGCTCTCGCCCTAGGAAAATCCCGAATCCGGCTGGGGACCCGTGTGTATACGTACTCTTGGCCTTGGAGCCAGAGAGCTTAAACATCACGACGCATCCGTATTGTGCGTTCGGAAAGCGGGGAACTGTGGGGCCGTGCCGTTTGTCTGATGGAGAATAGAGTCGTTTGGCCAGATTCTCGTTGCGTTTTATATCCGCGTGGGCTTTGGCGTGTGCCCAAAGGCCGATTGGCTGCAAGGAGTCCAGAAGGAGGAGAGTCGTGAGTTCATTTAAAGTGCGATGGGGGACTCTCCACTTTTCCGTTAAACTGGGATGTGTTGGCAGCTGATTTACGGAGGGCCATTCCAAGAGAGAGGAGCATATCTCGGGTTGCTGTGCTCTGGAAAATGCTGTCGCCGTCTGCGAGAAGAAAATGCGAGCGGTAATCGGCTGGTACTTGGACGAGAAGTGCAAGGAGCGGCTTGGTCATGTCCGCCTTATCCGAAAGGGTAGGATGAAGGCCTAATCGAGTACAGTCGCAAAACATATTAAGTGCGTATCGGTTGCCATATCTAGTCTCTGCGCATGGGACTTTGTAAGTCCACATGGAGCTGCTCACCAGGACCATAGACAGAGTCCGAGACAGAGTGTTTAATGGGCTTGCTCTTGAGTTTGCCCTCTTGACAAACTGGGCAATGCTTTGGAAACTCAGGGTGAGCTCGGGTGTAAGTGATCGCAGTGAGGTTATTATACGAAGGGGTCCGATTAGTGCAACAAGGGTATAGACCTATGTAAGTTTACCGAAGGCGGTCTGACCATGGCGTAGGAATGTGGTCGCGGTGTTATGAATTATGTAGACGTCTCGCTGGATCCGAGAGAGGAAGAGTGGCCACCATGCCCCAGTCGAATATTTAGTTTGATGAAATCATGGTTGTCTGACCAGTGTGGGTTACCGGTGAGATAGTTGACCTTAGTGTAACGATTGACTATGTCGTCTTCTAGGCCTGGGGTAGTTGGGCATTCGATACAGAGGCACAGACATCGATAGTGGGCGAATATTCTAGAAAATTCATAGCCCTGTGCCAATCCTTCCTGTTGAGCATCCACGCCTCAGTGGTGACCATGAGGGGTGGAGGGTGGATGAGGATGACGTTAATCTTCGCTGCCATACGCAGAGTAGTATTCCGGCTCCGATGCTCATTATTACAGTGGTACTCGTCGTAAGTTTGAGTAACCACCGGCGGAGTAGTCTCTGGTGAAATAGTTTGATGGGTAGGGGGGCAATGATGGCGGGAGAGACAGAAATGATTGGTAACGAAGAGGTCGTCGTTGGGGAGGGAGGTGCTTCACCGGGAAGAACAGGGTCGGCGTCTTTAGGACGCCCAGCTTTCGCACGGGCGAGGTTGTGAGCTGTACGGCGATGGCGATAGTGTGAGTCAGTGGAGAGGCGTTGAAGGGTGTCGTAAGAGACGTGACAGTCGCCGTTCTGCCGCGAAATACGGCGAGAATCGGTGCCGTGAGAGATTTTGCCGGTCGGCTGTTTAGGGAGGACACTTATTTAGAACCCCTGGTTTTGAAGGCGATTCTGAGATACGAGGGGTTGTTGAAGTGTGGGGTCCAAGTACGAAAGCCCCAGTCCAGGCAAAATATCCTGTTCTGTGATGACTTTTTCCGAGTTATCAGCGAGAACTACGGGGAAGCGATCACGGTCTAGTTGTAAAAATAGTGGGTTCCTAATAGTAGTTGAACAGTTAACGTATTTTATAAACGTATATACGTATTAACGGTTATACTTATAAAATACTGGAATACGTTTAACGAATTGGACATGAACAAGAACTGAGATATTCAAGATTCTGAACATGTGATAGTACTCAGTAGAGTATGGAACTCTACTGTGGACAATTAGGTGGTTTTCCTAATATAAATTGGGTTTTCCA